CTGTCTGGGTGAAACCCTAAAATCCCCGGGTTGCCCACTATTTATACCACCTTATAGCCCCCATCCTCGCCTCCCTCACCCTGAGAACACAGTTAGAGAACCCTAATCCTCCCTTGAAGAGCTTATATGTGTTTTGGTGCCATTTTGTGAAGGTGTGAAGAAGGAGAAGAAGGAAGAAGCAAGGAGAAGTGTTGTAGTGCAAAGATCCAAGGCCAAATCAGAGTTAATTGAGGTATTTTCGGAGTTCCATCTTGTTATATGCTTTAAACTTCCATTAGAGCTCTCCTAAGAGCTAGTTGATGCTTGTTCCAAGCCTTACACTTGCATGAACGTCTTATTAAGTCGAAATAGCTATGGATCTGAATGTTGGGGTGTTGTAGAGCCCAGATCTACTGTCTTTTTGGAGTTATATTGCATGATAACCATAGATCTACCCATTTTATGCATATTTTAGCCTTATTTCCCTTATTCATGAGGTTGTGCACGTAAAGTTGGAAACTTTACGTGGTAAATCAGCTTATTGGACTTAGATCTATCAATTGTATGCATTGGATTCAAACAAAATCGAGTAAAAATCAGTTGCATGGCGGCAACTCGGCGAGTCGGAAGAACGACTCGATGAGTTGGGTCGCGAGTCCCGAGTTCTTCAGTTTTATCAGTGTTGAGTGGACGAGGTGAGTTAGAGAGTGGACTCAACGAGTTGAGGGTGAACTCAGTGATAGAGGGACTCGGCGAGTTGTTCATCAACTCGGCGAGTCCAAGGCAATCTTCTTGGGATCAAGAACAACTCGTCGAGTCTGTTCATACGACTCGGCGAGTCAGATGAAGATTGTCTGAGTTCTTGGATCAAGAGGGTACTCGTCGAGTCGATGCCAGAATCGACGAGTAGCAGTGAGTAAAAGTGAAAAGTGAGAGTAGGACTCGGCGAGTTGGGTGGCCCAACTCGGCGAGTCAGCCCAAAGGAGAGTTGACTTTGACCAAGGGTAAAAGAGTCATTTTACCCCAAGCGCAGTGTTTAGTATTTGATTGAGTGTGTTTATGGACTTGTAGCCGAGGAGATTCAGGAGTAGCCGCCGTTAGCTTTCCGAGCCACACACTCAGCAGCCAGCTTACGAGGTGAGTTTCCTTCCAGTAGGAACGGGTCTAAGGCCACAATGCTGGTCCGTTCAGTTAGCAGTAGTTTCCGGATTTAGGTCCGATGCAGTAGTTAGTATGTTCGATGCCTTCGTGGCTCGAACAGGATTTGTGTGCTATGTTTCATGTGTTAAGTATTATGTGTTCCGGGCCACGGCCCGATGTAGCATGTCGTATATGTGTTATGCTAGTTGATGTGTTATGCTATGCCATGTTCAGTCAGTCAGTTCCGGACTTCGGTCCGATGCAGTTAGTTCCGGACTTCGGTCCGATGCAGGGGACAAGGTCCCAGTCAGTTCCGGACTTCGGTCCGATGCAGTTAGTTCCGGACTTCGGTCCGATGCAGGGGACAAGGTCCCAGTCAGTTCCGGACTTCGGTCCGATGCAGTCAGTTCCGGACTTCGGTCCGATGCAAGGGACAAGGTCCCAATCAGTTCCGGACTTCGGTCCGATGCAGTTTCCGGGCTTCGGCTCGATGCAGTGGGCAAGGCCCAATATGTGTTTATATATTATTGTATGGTATGTGGTAGTTTGGGGGAGCTCACTAAGCTTCGTGCTTACAATTTCAGTTTGGTTTCAGGTACTTCCGCAAGCAAAGGGAAGAACTCGGGGTGACAGCATCGCACACACCACAGCATAGCTTTTATCCTGGGGATGTCTCTTGATGTTTTGGATTGATGTAGTATGATACAGTTTTCCGCACAATATTTTATTATGTTTTGGGGATACATCGCGTATGTTTTATGTTATGATACTTATATTATGGTTTTGATTATATGGAAAAACGAAAATTTTTGGGTTGTGTTTTTGGGTCGTTTCATAGGTAGTGCTCATGTATAGTTGTGTCCCCATAGCCTTTTGGAGTGACTACCAAAACCTTGAAGTAAATCTACTATTACGATCAGAGATAATAGATACTGGCACTCCATGAAGTCTCATGATCTCTTTGATATAGATTCGTGTTAAACCTTCCATCTTGTATGATTCTTTTATTGGCAGGAAATGATTGGATTTAGTTAACCTATCGATAATCACCCAGATAGCATGCAATCTGTCTGATCTCTTAGGTAATTTGCTTATGAAGTCCATAGTAATCCTTTCCCATTTCCACTCGAGTATTATTGACTGTTGTAATAATCCCGAGGGTTTTGATATTTCACTCTCACTTTGGCACAAGTGAGACACTTGCTCACGTAAGTGGCGATCTTTTCCTTCATATTTGGCCACCAATAATGTTGCTTAACGTCCAAGTACATCTTCTCTGAACCTGGGTGGATGGAATATCGTGTTCTATGAGCTTCGTTCATGACTATCTCTCAGAACAACATTCGCCTTACCGGGGTGGTACTTGATCTTACATTCGTAATCATTTAACAACTCAAACCACTGCCTCATGTTCAGCTCCTTTTGGCTCAGAATGTGCTGGAGGGTTTTGCGATCATTGAAGATGGTGCACTTCGTACCGTAGAGGTAGTGCCTCCAAATCTTTAGGGCGAAGACCACAACTTGCAGCTCGAGATCATGGGTGGCATAATTTGCTTCACGCGTATTCAATTTCCTGGATGCGCAAGCTATCAAATTTCCACGCTACATGAGGACACAACCTAAACCTTGGTTCTAAGAATCTCAATAGACCACAAAATCTTTAGTTCCCTATGGTAAGGGTAGCACGGGTGCACTGCAGATGGATGGTTTGGAAAGTAGCTTCTTGCTTTCCCATCAAATTGAAAGATACGCCTTTTTTGTCAAGGTGGTGAGGGGTGTGGCTATCTTGGAAAAATTCTGGATAAACCTTCGGTAGTATCCCGCGAGACTCAAGAATTGTCAGATTTCTATTGTTGTCTTTGGGATCGCCCAGCCTTCAATGACCTTGATCTTGGAAGGATCTATGCGAATCCCTTCCTCACTAACTATGTGACCCAAAAATTTTACACTGTGAATCTAGAACTCGCATTTGGAGAGTTTTGCATATAATCGCTCAGCTCTCAGAGTTTCTAAGATTTGACGGAGATGTTGACCATGCTACTCTTTGCTTCGGGAGTATATAAGAATATCATCGATGAATACGATCATGAAATTATCAAGGAATGGGCGGAATACTCAATTCATGAGGTCCATAAATATTGTAGGGGCATTTGTTAGACCGAAGGGCATCACAACAATTTCGTAATGAGCGTATCGAGTTCATAAAACAGCTTTTGGAATGTCCTCTTCTCGAACTTCAAGTTGATGATAACCGGATCTTAGATCGATTTAGGAGAAGTAACTAGCTCCTTGCAGCTGGTCAAATAGATCATCAATCCGAGGGAGTGGGTATTGATTTTTGACAGTGTGCTTGTTCAAATCCCTGTAATCGATGCACATCCTGAAGGATCCGTGCTTTTTCTTGACAAACAAGATCGGAGATCCCCAGGGTGAGAAGCTTGGTCTGATGATAACAACTCAACCCACTGCCTCATGTTCAGCGCCTTTTGGTTCAGAATGTGCTGGAGGATTTTGTGATCATTGAAGATGGTGCACATCGTACTGTAGAGGTAGTGCCTCCAAATCATTAGGGCGAAGACCACAGCTCGCAGCTCGAGATCATGGGTGGTGTAATTTGCTTCATGCATCTTCAAATTCCTGGATACGCAAACTATCACATTTCCACGCTACATGAGGACACAACCTAAAACTTGGTTCAAAGCATCACAATAAACCACGAAATCCTTAGTTCCCTCGGGTAAGGGTAGCACAGGTGCACTACAAATGGCTGGTTTGGAAAGCAGCTTATTGCCTTCTCATCCAATTGAAAGATACGCCTTTTTGTGTCAAGGTGGTGAGGGGTGTGGCTATCTTGGAAAACTTCCTGATAAACCTTAGGTAGTAGCCCACGAGACTCAAGAATTGTCAGATTTCTATTGTTGTCTTTGGGATCACCCAGCCTTCAATGGCCTTGATCTTGGAAGGATCTATGTGAATCGCTTCCTCACTGACTCTGTGACCCCAAAAGTTTACACTGTGAATCTAGAACTCGCATTTGGAGAGTTTTGCATATAATCGCTCAGCTCTCATAGTTTCCAAGATTTGACGGAGATGTTGACCATGCTACTCTTTGCTTCGGGAGTATATAAGAATATCATCGATGAATACGATCACGAAATTATCAAGGAATGGGCGGCATACTCAATTCATGAGGTCCATAAATATTGTAGGGGCATTTGTTAGACTGAAGGGCATCACAACAAATTCAGAATGAGCGTATCAAGTTTAGAAAACAGCTTTTGTAATGTACTCTTCTCGAACTTCAAGTTGATGATAACCGGATCCACTACTAGAAAAAAGGCCTTTTACGACGCTCATTGCGCGTCGTAAAACGCTCAGACGACGCGCAAATGCGTGTCAAGGAAGGCCCTGTCATAAAGTGAGACAACGCGCATTTACGACGCGCATTTACGACGCGCATTTATGACGCGCATTTACGACGCGCGGTTATGACACGCAATGCGTATCAAGGAAGGCCCTGTCATAAAGGAAGACGACACGCATTTGCGTGTCGTAGCCTTATGACGCGCGTGTTTATGACACACAATGCGTATCAAGGAAGCCCCTGTCAAGAAAGGCCATGTCATAAATGAAGATGACACACATTTTTGCGTATCATAATTTTAAATGTTTTAAAAAAAATATATTTACAATATCTAAATTTGATGTCATACAATTCATAATAGAAATAAAATATCATATACAAAAAATACAATCAATTGCATAAAATTTAATGTCATACAATTCTATTTTTTACAATATCTAAATTTGCATCTAATCTACTCTCTACATCAAATTCCAACTAAATAAAGTTGCATCTTGCCTTTCATAATTCTTTAAGACTAATGCTCCAAACAGCTGTTATATGGATAAGAAGTTGTACATTGGCCCATCTCACTCAAGAAAGACTTAGTCAAATTCAACTCCAAGTCTTTACTGCATCTTGCTGATAATGCTGCAAGATTTGAATCAAGTGGCTTCATATTCCTTTCTTCCACCAACTTTACCTGATGCACAAAATACACAGAAACAAAAAAACATTGTATAGGACAATCCAAAAACACATTATAAGCATAACAGACAGTCCATGGACTTACTGTGGATCAATAATTGCAAACACCAAAGTAATGAAAACAGATGTTTGTTGGCCACACAGCACACATAACAAATGTAGCTGAAATGGCACATCTAATGAATCAGAAAAAAGGTAATGTGATCCAGACTTGTTTTCCTTGTCTATAGCAAATGAAACAAAGATGCATTGATTTTGAACTTATTTGTTGACTTGATAGGGAAATTTTTCATAAAGAAGACTATTAACAAGGAAACATCCAACTTAAACAATCTATCACATCACATCACATATTTGGCAATGTTCCATTCAAATTGGGATGAGTATTGACCTGTGATCATCCGAGATAGACACCGATTTTGATCCATCCAAAGACCATGTAATATGGTATATAGAACCTTCATGCCCATCCAATCCAATCCACATACTGGGACAACTTTGTACTCAGCTCTCTTTGATTTTGATCCCATAGGATTTGGAGTATCTACTACTTTCCAGACAATTATCTGGCATGACAAATTTACAATCAACAATCTCATCATGTTTAGAAACTTGTTTTACTCATGTATCAGGCAGGTATGTATCTATTATCTAAGAGCCAGCTAAACTGTTAATATATTTAACCAAACCTTATGTAGTTATGTGTATTTAATGATTTAATCCTTTGAGATATGGAAAACTGAAATCGTGAAAGATGCTTACATAGTTCAAGTACTGATAGCACCAAATGTTGGCATCATTGCAGTTAGTCCCTATAAGATTGTTTAGTATATATGTTATTATTTATAATACCAAGGGCAAAAAAGGAAAAGAGTATAATCTTTTTACTTTCATATCCTCTGTTTATGAATAACAAGAGATCATCAACACACACACAAGCTCATGATCCTCTTCAACTTCAACATTTTTAAGCATACCTTAAATACAGGAACCGAAGAACTGATTACATTCTTGACTTGAACAACAAGCAGCATACTTTCAACCCTGCAACTGCAAATCTGCCAAATTAGAGAAAACACTTATACTAATCAAACCATACGATGTTGATAGAAACGTTAAAGCAGGATACAATTGTACATAATTTGTGATGAAAAGAGCAAATATTATAGCCACAATAAGTAATAGAACATATATATGCATATAATTACACCCACCTTCTTTTTAGTAGCCTAGATGCGATAATAATATGCAGTGGTGAATTCTAGGTCATCTGCTTCCTCTGTCCAAATGATTAAGAACTTGTTCATGTGAAATCGTAAAGCTAACTGTGAAATCAAATGATGACTTATTACAGGGGAAGTGAACTTCCTACCACAACCAGAGACATCATTTGATGTTTGAGAGATTGTTGTTGTACAAAAAAAAACTATAAAAGCTCACCAAACCATCCTTTTGAGTTAGCACCTATCCAATAACTTTGTGCCTCACTTCATGGTCCTTCATCTTTACGAGTCTCTCCACCACTAAACTATAAGAAAACATCACCATCTTTGGTTACAATCTCAATTCCCTCCTTTATATTGTAACGAACCTAAAAAATACAAAATTAACCTTAAAACATATAAAGGTAAAAAAATTCAAATTTTCTATTTATTTAGCACACCAATAACTATAAAAATACCTTCAAATCTATGATTTCTGTTTTTTCCATCGACATGCCATAAGGGAGGGGGACGGTTTCGTTCAATGATTGGGGGAGCTTCACTTGGAATGTGGCAATATTGATGAATCCCTTCAAAAGAAAGATGTTCAGGAATGAACATTGAGCTAGAACATTGATTTGAAGCTATGTTGTCGGGTTGGGAACGCAGAAATAGCTGACCGCATGCATGGACCCAATAATTATGATTGAGATTTTATTACCAAGGCACAAAACGTGCCAAAAACATAAATGAATTTGTATTAAAGAAAATGTCTTGGAAATTTACAAATTTGGCAGCCTATCATTGTTCAAGTGCTCTTAACTGTGTTGATCTGCTGATCAATGAACATATCTTATCTCCTTTGAGCTATTCAAATTTGAAAGATTCAATTTAACTTATTTAATTGAATATTTTAGATAATCTATCCAAACCACAACAATTAATATTTCTGCTTGCATTCCACAATAAATATATGGGATAATCTATGACCGCATACATATATAAACAATAAAACGTTTGACTATTACCGATTTAGTACTATGTATTTCCATTTAACTCAGTCACATTCAATCAATCGGATATGTAACTCTTAACCGACATTATGTAGCAATTACAAGTAAAAGCAGTGAGCTAAACATCAAAACAATAATCAACTTATTTGTCAACAAAAGTAGAAACAGGAAACTCAAAATTAAGTCAGTGATCATGTTCATACCTTCGAATTATCACATCAAATAATAGAATCAAATTTAAATGCACGCACCTATGTACAACTCATCCTTTTTCTTGAGCATATTATAATCCTTTTGAACCGCCTACAACTCCATCACCAATCTGTCTGCAGCAGCTTCCCTTACTGAACCATCACAAACTATTACGTGTTCTAATCTTCTCAACTTCTTTGACCTCCAAATTTGCTAGAACTGGCTTCACTTCAGCGTTATCACCCAACCTTGTGCATTGCTTGTAGATTAATAGAAAGCGCCTCAGTCATAGTGGGCTTTTTCTCTTTCAATTTTTCCTATAAAAGACAACTAGTTAGCTAAAAATTATAATCAAAGTTAATGATAGCAAGAGGCAACCGATTCAATTTCTCAATGAAGATGAAACTCAGTCCTTACCTCTCTGAGATTAACCCATATATGGTTACGTGTTGTAGGTTTGCTTCAGGAGGAAATATTTTTAGGTTTGTGTTAGGATATGTAGAAGATTGCTCTTTCAAGCATTTTGTCGATCACTTGGAGTGCATATATGCTCTATTTTTTCTGATCCATTTACTTTAATTGTATATTTATAACCATCGAATACAAATGCCAAAATCACATACTTTAAGCATCGATTCATTGTAAAATATAAAATAAAACATCAAACTGAGGTTTAACAAAATAACATTAAGATAGGGGTAGAGATTTTCGAGATGATCTACAAGGGATGAAGAAATAAAGTTCTTCTGTTCAAAAATAAAACCAAACAGATTCATCACTCTCAACATTTTAAAGACAAACATCAAGTAGTTAAACACAAATTTTAAATTGAAATTTAATCAATATAATGAAAAATCAGAACAAACATACTCACAGTAGTAGTCGTGGCGGCCGTAGTTGTCGACTCCGCCATCATAAACTTTTTTGTTGAAGAAATAGGAGATTGTAGAAGCGTCCTTTTCATAGCATAGTAACACCTCCCATTCCTGGGAGAAATAGGAGATCGTAGTTGTCGGCCGTAGTTAAACACAATTTTTGTTGAAGAAAGGAAACTTCAATTAAACGAACAACTTTACCATATTTGGGAGAAAAAATCGGGAATGGGTTACAATTAACGAACCTTAGAGATTTTATCGCCACCAAGATGATGCAGATGCACGAAAAAAACCAGAATCCTTTTTTCTTGATTGAGAAGATGAAGTTGAGGGATGAATGAGAAGTCGTGTTCCCCTAATCTGCTGAATGGATGAAGAAATAGGACCAAGGCTAGAAGCGCAACTAGACTAGGGTTTGTAAACGTGGGGAGTCATTGTAGATGGAGTAGGGTAGAGGTGAAGAGGGGTGAGCGGGGTACTTCAAAATTTTGGGGGATTTTCCATGTTTCTAGTGGTGGCGGCTGCTAGGTTTTACAGAGAGTAGCAGGGGAGAAAATGAAAGACCTGTGGTGGTGTAGTGGTGGTTCTGGGCTGTTGCGAAGGTAGTGTGGTGGTGGCTCACGGCTGGTGCTATGGTGCGATGTTGTAACGGTGGAGTCTGAAAGCAAACACAAATTGTGATGGAAGCTAGTGTTGTTGGTGATGTCCGATTCATCAAAAGAAAATCATTCTTCGATCAATCTTCTATTTTGTGAAAGAAGATATTACTATTTCAAATGTGTTATGTTTGATTAGGGTTTGCACATAGAAGGAAGTGAAAGTCGATCGGAGAGGAAGGGGTTTGCAGAGAGAAAGAAAGGAGAGAATGAAGTCGATTTGGCAGGTGTAGAGAGTAGAGAGGAAGAGGAAGCGGGTGTTCAAAATTTTGGGGGATTTAGTTTCCCCCCTTACCTATCAAGGAGTCCCAGAAACGCGCGTTTATTAAAATTATAAAGTGACATTTGTAGAGGACGCCCTTTTTATTATAGGTGCCCTCCGTGTTTTTAATATTTTTACATGAGACACTAATTTAAGGGCACTCAGTAATGCGCGACCTAAATCCTTAAAATTTTTGAAGAGATGGTACTTTTTTAATGTCGCTCTCTAATGCGTAACATAAATCAAAGAGCGTCGTGTTTTGCACGTCGTAAAAGGGTCTTTTTCTTGTAGTGATCTTAGATCGATTTTGGAGAAGTAACTAGCTCATTGCAGCTGGTCAAATAGATCGTCAATCCGAGGGAGTGGGTATCGGTTTCTGACAGTGTGCTTGTTCAAATCCCTGTAATCGATGCACATCCTGAAGGATCCGTCCTTTTTCTTGACAAACAAGACAGGAGATCCCAGGGTGAGAAGCTTGGTCTGATGATAACAACTCAACCCACTGCCTCATGTTCAACTCCTTTTGGTTCAGAATGTGCTGGAGGATTTTGTGATCATTGAAGATGGTGCACTTCGTACCGTAGAGGTAGTGCCTCGAAATCTTTAGGGCGAAGACCACAGCTCGCAGCTCGAGATCATGGGTGGTGTAATTTGCTTCATGCGTCTTCAATTGCCTGGATGCGCAAGCTATCACATTTCCACGCTTCATGAGGACACAACCTAAACCTTGGTTCAAAGCATCGAAATATACCACGAAATCTTTAGTTCCCTCTTGTAAGGGTAGCATAGGTGCACTGCAGAGGGCTGGTTTGGAAAGCAGCTTCTTGCCTTCTCATCCAATTGAAAGATACGCTTTTTTGTGTCAAGGTGGTGAGGGGTGTGGCTATCTTGGAAAACTGCTGGATAAACCTTCGGTAGTAGCCCACGTGACTCAGAAATTGTCAGATTTCTGTTGTTGTCTTTGGGATCGCCCAGCCTTCAATGGCCTTGATCTTGGAAGGATCTATGTGAATCCCTTCCTCACTGACAATGTGACCCAAAATGTTTACACTGTGAATCTAGAACTCGCATTTGGAGACTTTTGCATATAATCACTCAGCTCTCAGAGTTTCCAAGATTTGACGAAGATGTTGACCATGCTACTCTTTGCTTCGGCAGTATATAAGAATATCATCGATGAATATGATCACGAAATTATCAACGAATGGGCGGCATACTTAATTCATGAGGTCCATAAATATTGTAGGGGCATTTGTTAGACCGAAGGGCATCAAAACAAATTTGTAATGAGCGTATCGAGTTCAGAGAACAACTTTTGGAATGTCCTATTCTCGAACTTCAAGTTGATGATAACCGGATCTTAGATCGATTTTGAAGAAGTAACTAGCTCCTTGCAGCTGGTCAAATAGATCGTCAATCCGAGGGAGTGGGTATCGGTTTTTGACAGTGTGCTTGTTCAAATCCCTGTAGTCGATGCACATCCTGAAGGATCCGTCCTTTTTCTTGACAAACAAGACCGGAGATCCCCAGGGTGAGAAGCTTGGTCTGATGAAAACAACTCAACCCAATGCCTCATGTTCAACTCCTTTTGGTTTAGAATGTGCTGGAGGATTTTGTGATCATTGAAGATGGTGCACTTCGTACCGTAGAGGTTGTGCCTCCAAATCTTTAGGGCGAACACCACAACTCGCAATTCGAGATCATGGGTGGTGTAATTTGCTTCATGCGTCTTCAATTTCCTGGATACGCAAACTATCACATTTCCACGCTACATGAGGACACAACCTAAACCTTGGTTCAAAGCATCACAATAGACCACAAAATCCTTAGTTCCCTCTGGTAAGGGTAGCACAGGTGCACTGCAGAGGCCTGGTTTGGAAAGTAACTTCTTGCCTTCTCATCTAATTGAAAGATACGCCTTTTTGTGTCAAGGTGGTGAGGGGTGTGGCTATCTTGGAAAACTTCCTGATAAACCTTAGGTAGTAGCCCACGAGACTGAAGAATTGTCAGATTTCTGTTGTTGTCTTTGGGATCGCCCAGCCTTCAATGGCCTTGATCTTGGAAGGATCTATGTGAATCCCTTCCTCACTGACTATGTGACCCAAAATGTTTACACTGTGAATCTAGAACTCGCATTTGGAGAGTTTTGCATATAATCGCTCAGCTCTCAGAGTTTCTAAGATTTGACAGAGATGTTGACCATGCTACTCTTTGCTTCGGGAGTATATAAGAATATCATCGATGAATACGATCACGAAATTATCAAGGAATGGGTGGCATACTCAATTCATGAGGTCCATAAATATTGTAGGGGCATTTTTTAGACCGAAGGGCATCACAACAAATTTGTAATGAGCGTATCGACTTCAGAAAACAGCTTTTGGAATGTCCTCTTCTCGAACTTCAAGTTGATGATAACCGAATCTTAGATCGATTTTGGAGAAGTAACTAGTGCCTTGCAGCTGGTCAAATAGATCGTCAATTCGAGGGAGTGGGTATCGGTTTTTGACAGTGTGCTTGTTCAAATCCGTGTAATCGATGCACATCCTGAAGGATCCGTCCTTTTTCTTGACAAACAAGACCGGAGATCCCCAGGGTGAGAAGCTTGGTCTGATGATAACAACTCAACCCACTGCCTCATGTTCAGCTCCTTTTGGTTCAGAATGTGCTAGAGGATTTTGTGATCGTTGAAGATGGTGCACTTCGTACCGTAGAGGTAGTTCCTCTAAATCTTTAGGGCGAAGACCACAACTCGCAGCTCGAGATCATGGGTGGTGTAATTTGCTTCATGCATCTTCAATTGCCTGGATGTGCAAGCTCTCACATTTCCGCGCTACATGAGGACACAACCTAAACCTTGGTTCAAAGCATCGCAATAGACCACGAAATCTTTTGTTCCCTCTTGTAAGGGTAAAATAGGTGCACTGCAGCGGGCTGGTTTTGAAAGCAGCTTTGTGACAACCCAACGTTAATTCCGTTATATAAATCTGTCTCCACTAACGGAATATGTCATTTATAAAAGTTCCGTAATTTGGAGTCGTGAAATAAATGAATATTTAAGTCTTTATTTATATTTCATGTGATTATCATTTTAGTAAAAATAAATATAATTCATTAATGTTAGTTTTATTTAACGAAATAAACTTATATTAGTGTTTCTACCTCTCAACCCGGGTAAAAAGTTTAAAACCCATTACACTTGAGTATTGGGTAGTCGTGTACCGGGTGCAATACCCGATGCATATATAAGGAAAGTGGATACCACTTTTGCACTCTTTTATCACCCAAACACACACTCTCTCACTACTTTCTCTCTAGACCCGATTTCGACTCCAAAACCGCAATTTCCGGCTTCCAAACGTAAGGCCGTCCTCCCTAGCTTGTTCTAAACTTGCATGAATGTATTTATAATTGAAAAATCATATTAATTAGGGGTAAACAAGGAGCTTACAGCCTAAGAGGCTCTTTAGGCCATAAACACCCAAAACATGGCCAAATGTCCCAATTTTCCTTCCTTTAAGCTTGTATACCAGTTAGGGATTTTACCTAGAAGAGTTTGGCCATCAAAACATGAGATTTTAAAGCATAAAAGAGGGTTTACGGCCCAAGCACATGCTTAGGCCGTAAACACCCTTTTTCCATGTAAAAATGCCCCAAAAACTCATCCAATGCATGTTAGACTTGAGATATGATTTTTAGAAAGTGCCATTTCGAGTTTAGGACCATTAAACACCACATTTTGAGGGGTAATTTAGAGTTTACGGCCCAAGCATAAGCTAGGACTGTAAACTCCCCAAAACATCACCAAATGTTGGTTTAAACTGTGACAACCTGAAATTTCCATTCTGTACAAACTATATCACTTCAATAGAAGTTATAGCAGTCACAGTTAATTTTTAGACTTTTCACGTAAGTTTGAGTAATTCAGGGTTTATACTTCAGGAGATATTAAGAGAGTGGATGCACTAGGGTTTTGTGCAACACTATTATTCCAACACTCTATTATATTAGAGATCATTTCTGGAATAAAAATATTTTCTGCCAAAATATCTCAGGACTATAAATAGATTTCTGAACCAAATTCATTCATTATTCACGTTTCCGACTAGAGAAAAGCCATTTTCTCTCTGACGGATCTTCGGGTTTTTATCCCAAAACGTGAGTACCTCTT